TTGTGGGTGTGGATGTCGAAAGAAGAAGAACACAACACCTACACCCATCTAATCTTAATATAACGTAATCAACTGTTGGCTAGTCTTATTTATTTGTTGTATTTTTGTGATAGATTTTACATGAATTTCTGTTTAGTTCGTTTGAGTATGGTCTTATTTTAAGTATATACAAACTGTATTAGAAATTCGTAACATCCATTTGAAGACATCAATAGAAAAAAAATCCAAAGTTCGACGTAAACGAATTATCTTTTGAAAATTTCTGTATCTTTTATATTGTTTTAATAATTGGGATATAGTATATAATGTGATCAAGATGTAGGTAGTATGAATGGATTTGGACTTATATTTGATTTTAATCTTGTCTACTCAATCATTTCGAATCAATTTCTGAAACAGAGATGTTCATCGCAGTTGAGAATCTGCCGCGGTCGCTGTGGCGTTCGCGGCGCGGTGGTGACAGCGCCGCCATGGACATTTGTGTTTCGAAATGAATAAAAAACATTCCGTTTATATTCAATTACTCCGTTATCTGTGCTAGGTAACTATATAATACTTAACTAAAGTTTTAAATTTTTGTAATATTCAATTCAGCTAGTGAATCATTTATAATTTTATCTTCAACAACTGTAAGATCTTATACGATTATATCAAACTTTTCATCTGCAAGAGAGACATTACTTTTCACAGAAAACGAATCTATTCGTATGTTATTTGATAGAATTAATTAGTTTGATTTTTTTTTCGTATTAGCTGATATTGATATTTGTTTATGAAAACAAAGATTTTATATCTGATATTTATTGCGAAAAACAAAATTCGAATAGTTTCTTCAAAACTTTAAAAATACTGTCAATTCGAAAAATGAATCGTTTTCATTTTATATATTTAAAATCAGTCCATTCATATAATCAAACATTTTCTAGTTCGAGATTACATTAAGTAATTGTTTAGTATCTTGATTAATAATATAATATACAATAAAGAAGATTAAATTGAAAATTCAATCATAATTTTTGTTTTAAAATCATCATCATCTGTTGATTCTCCATCAATAAATTCAATGTTTGCTTTTCTATCTAACCAAAATTGCTTTTCTAAAAATTTATCTTCAACTAAAACTCGAGCGATATTTATTTCAGTATGAAATAAAAGTATATATAATGTAAATTGTTTAAGTTTTAATAAATTTTTCTCAATTAAAATTTCCCATTGATTACAATCTAAGTCAGCATAATTTGTTGGAGAAAAAGAAAGTGTTAATTTTTCTAAATTCGGACATTGTTTTAATAAATAAACAAGTAATTCTAGTGCAGTTGAACGTACTGATAAATCACAAGCAATTAAATTTAATGATAAAGGATAATCAATAATGTGTTCTTTTAATCTAATATTTGCATCTAAATAACGGAGTTTTGAAAAATATGAAAGTATATTTTCTATATCATTAATTTGTATGTGATGTAAAAATAAACGTTGTACAGTCGGAGATATTTCTGTTGACAATAGAGAATGATTAAGTGATACTAAGTCATTACGACAAATAATTTCATTATCTCTTGATGCCGATAAAAATAAGTATGTTAATGATTTAAAACGAGAACTAAAATTATAAAGAATAGCTCCGTACATATCTAATACTTTTTCTTTACACAAATCCGATCGAAATGATATTATTAATGATTTAAGATTATCTAACTGAAAATGTTGTTGACTAATTGTATGCATTGTATATAATCCAATCGAATCAAGCATTAATGCATTTAAAGTAACCATATTTTTCAATGGAACATAACTGTTATCTAAAATTCGATCGATCTGTTCATCGTAATATTCATTCGATAATATAAGAGTATTCACATGTGAACAATTTATAGTTGAAAACATCTTCAGTAAAAAAATAAATATTAAATTAAAATCCATAAAATAATTACCTTTCGACTTTCATTGAATGTTATCTTGCTTAGATCGATATATTTGATGCCATAGGTTAATACTAATGTTGATAAATGATGATTAAGACCATAGAATGCTTTATAATTATCATAGCCATTCATATACGAAAATATTTGAACAAATATTTCAGGTGAAAAAACTTCTAATGTAGCGATTGATATACTGGACATTTCATCCGCTTTACATAAAATGATTCATCTATTTTTACACGTTCTCTTCTTTCTACAATATTTTTTTTTTCTAAAATACAAAATATGAAGAACATTTTACATATAATTATATAAATGGTAAAATTCAATCATTTTTTATTCATAGTAAATGTTCCACAAAAAATATGTTTTAAATTCAATTCAATGAAAAGAGAAAAGTTCGCTTACGAGTATATATTAAATGTGATTAACTTATCTTTACTTTATAAATGAAGATAAAATAAAGACAGATAAGAATCCATTCTAAGGAGTCGTAATGTTTAGTTTAGAAAATATGAAGTATAGAAGTGTTCTAAATATTGTTTATTCTTAAATTGAAACTTTACAAATGTCAACAAAAAGAAAATTCGAGCTTTCAAATTTACTCATAGGTCATCTTCAGGCAAATGCTTCGGGACCACACATTGTCGGCCGAAACCTAACCGCTCTTCGTGCGGTACCCATCTTCAATCACACTGTTGTATCCCTAAACAGTGTTATTATATCCGAATTATCTCGCTCAACTCCGTCTCTCGAATTTAGTCATTACCTCTGTGTTACTCATAAAAAATAACTTGCATACTAAAGAAGATTGAAAGAGTTGATTAGAACACGTTTACAAACAATCCAACAATCGATCTATTCGTTTTATGGTAACAGGTGAGCAGAAGAAAAGAAAAAAATAGTTATGATGATGTGCCCGTTTCTAACGTATTGTGATGACCTGCCCGTTGCTAATGTAAAACTGAAATCGTAAACATACGGTCAAATAGAGAAAAGAAGTGAAAGAAGGGTCATAAGGTTAAATGAAAGAAAGAAATCGGTGAAGATTATACAATAAATTTACAGAAGGGACCAAAAAGAAAGTATTAGTGTGTGAATGTAGGTATAGGTACTGTATTCATCTCACACTCACACCCTCATGATTAGATCAATTGATATGCAGATTTACGTACAACAAGATATGAAGATAATATCGACACTTTTACTTCAACCAATCTACCCCTACGTTCACTGTCAACAATATGCTTATCAAAAATCTCTTGATCCTGTGTTGTTTATTTTGAACTATAATTCGCATAAATCAATCACTTAAATAATAGTTATTTATAAAATAAATAATATAAAGACTTCGAACAGTTTTTGAGTACAAAAAATTTGTTTACATCAATTGGTTATGTGATGCAAATTATTATTTAAATGTGTGTGAATTTCTCATAAATTTACTGTTACAGATTAATCTATAATAATGTACATTGTTGTAGAAAAAGATGATTATTATTTATTGCATTTGAGTCGCCAATCCTGGATTAACTTTTAATACATAAGATAATAAAGCTTTGACGTATCATCATGAATATATGGATGATTCTCTTGTTGAAATATTGACAAAACAAAGAATTCGGATATATCACTAGCAATATTCATATCAAATCGTAGGCGTTGAATACTATTTGAACATATATCTTGTCAAAATTAATCGATAATATAAGTTTTCTATCTATTTGATCATAAAGACAAAATATTATTTTAAAATGAAATGGAAAATTGAGAATAGCATCATATTCACCACGCATAAGAATAAAAAACAATGAAATACATGTTCGTCGAGCAATTCCATTAACATTTAAATAAATACGACGACATATTTTGTAACAGTAGATGAAGAATAAATCGATGTTTGTTTTTTTTGATTGTGCATCGACCATGAATAAACAAATAGTTTATTTGTACTCTTAGTATATATCTTCAGCACTTATCAATTCTTGAAGAATTAATATTTATCTAACGATAATACACATTAATAGAATATGATTGATTGAACAAAATATCAACACATCTTGAGAGTATGAGTGTGAATACAATACTTTCATTCCTTAAGCACATTCCTATCGAACAGGACTTTTCATCTACTGCAATCCATTAGAATGTAAATTCAAAGACTTACTCATTTTTAAACTCTATGCGAAAAAATAATATAAGTATTATTGAGCATGTTGGTGTGAATGTGAGTTGAGCAGAATGCCCACATCCACATCCTATCCTTATATATTCTGTAAATTTTAATAGTTTCCGATGGATCCTAAACATCTTGGCAGTTACTGGGAATCATCAGAAATTGCATTGTACCCTTAATCTTTTATTAAAACCTGATTAAAACTAAAATTTTCACGTCCAAAACTTAGTTCATGTAATGTTTAATTGAGAGAAAAAAGATTGTATAAGCTTCATATTCATGGAAAGCTTAGTAGAAGATTATCCATTCCATATTGTGTGCCATATTCACCATAAACATATGGATTTTGTATTCCCCCTGCCGTTGTAAATACAACTTTGTCTATTCCTGAATATCCAGTGAATGCTATATTGAACAATGTAAATACTTGAAGTATAAAAGTACTGTTTGCAACAACGATATTTGAACGATATCCAACAACCGTTAATTGCAAATTATCATACCATGCTGCAGCCATTGAAGCAGAATATAAAGTAAAAGGACGACCGTTGGCACTTATCATAGTCATTGGATCACCATATGCGTTAAACGATGTAACATTTCCGCTGACAGTAGATGTATTGTATCCACTCGCATTGTATAAATAGGAACTGACGAAGGCAGCCCCATTTGTCCAACCAATACATGTATTATCATAACTGTTCGGTATGAATACGTCTGGCCCGAATGTTAGATCATCAAATGTTAAAAGTACACTGCCAGTTGCACATCCTACATGTTAAATAATTAAATTAGCAAACTATATACAGTGCTGGCAAAAATTATAAGAATCGCCCGTTTTTTAGTTTTTACATATATTTTCATCGAGTGATAACGAATAGTAAGCCTGAACATATGTATTTCAATATGCTCTTACCGATGGTGTACTCAGATTTGGTCTTTTTTAATTTCATGTTTTTGGAAAAAAATGGAAATTTATTAAAAATCACGTTTGTAGAAACAATACGAATAAAATACTGATTAGACTCAATGTTTTATGTGTTATAGCAAAATATAGATGAGCACACTTCTTATAGTCGACCATTAGATAGAAGATAATTTTTGCTACACACAAAAATATTTTCGTGTCCTAACAAATATTTTATTGGCTATCAAGCGCTCGTGCAGATTACGCGGCTGTTCTTTCTTTTATTTTCTCTCTGAATATTTACTGCTAGCCCCGGACTCGTGAATTTTAATCGATATCAGACACCTTAGATACCAGTGGTTTGGATGTGAACTAATCTTTCCATTAGCCGCATTCACACTCACACCCACACCCACCCTCAAAGAATTCTTATCGAAATTTTATTGTTATAATACCAGTTGAATAAAGATGAAATAGCACAAAAGAACGAACTTTCGTTTTCTCTATCACCTCACAAAGAAAGAAAATTTTATCAAGCCCTCTATAAGAAAATAAGGTAGCTCTGCGGCTACTTTTGCGTACTCCTAAGTATATTTAAGACTTACCAGATCTTACACTAACACTTGTCGTACTAGTCGTTGTTGTCGTACTGGTTGTACTATTCGTACTAGTCGTTGTCGTCGTACTAGTTGTTGTTGTCGTCGTACTAGTTGTTGTTGTCGTACTGATTGTACTATTCGTACTAGTCGCTGTCGTCGTACTAGTCGTTATCGTCATACTTGTTGTTGTTGTCGTTGTAGTATCTACACATAATTATAAAAATATATTCGTCAATAATATGAACGTTTGCGGACGGTTCTTATTTGATGTAAATGACACTTCTGTGCCCAGATTAACTACTAATGTTAAAGATGCTGTTTAGATGAAGGGAAAAAAGAATTTTTTGAAACTATATAGATATTGTTGGATTTTTATTAAACTCAAAGGCCCGAAAGAATGCACCTTTTCCCCCTTGGACTTGCTCATTACCTAGCTTTTTTGAAATCAGAATTCCAGCTGTAATTCCACCTCCCACTAATAACAACAACAATAAGCCCAAGAGAATGCAGCACAATGGTGAACAACAGAAACCTCCACATCTAAAATGGACAAAGATTCAATTTAAATATAATAACTATTTCATCAGCATGTGAGTGTTGTATTCTTCTTATATCCACACGTATATACACTCCTATACCCACACCCTTTTGTATTTAATACTTCAATAAGTTACTATATTCTGTACGATCGTAATCGTCTGTTATTTTTGTTATGCAAGGTTTCATATCTAATTTTCTGTTCTCATTTTTTTAAATGACTATTCTCACGTTCATCTTCACGTATGTATTGGAAGAATTTAGTAGATCGTCAGTGAATTTGCACAATAAAATAGAAAAAAACATACCGATGTTTTGAGGTTGATGGTTTAGTAGAATCTCGTTTGAAAGAGACGGGCTCTTGTAGAAACTCCAAGTTAGCAAAAACTATTTCAGTTTCTTCAGTTCCAGCCATTTCTTGACAATACTCTTTGATGTTTATCGAATGTATTCAATTGTTAGCTATTTCACTTCTCTTTATACGTTGCAATTTCAATACAAACCAGTTTAGTACTTGAAATGTCAACGTCATTTCTCCAAGTAAAAAAATATTTGTTTGTATTTCAAAGCACATGAAATAATCGATTTCATACATTAGTCATTCTTTTGTGTACATTACTCTCAATAGTTTTAAACACTGAAAGGTGATTGAAAGATTTTGTCATGAAAATATTTCAACCACTTCGGTGATTCCCCGTCTCAAAAATTTCTAACTGCGTCTTGAGGGTACGGAAGTAAAATAGAAAATCGTACGTGGTTTGTTTGTTTGACGTCATAGAAATAGTTGAAAGGAGAAAAAATTAGAAGAATACTCTCTACATTCTGAATATATATATAGTGAGTGATTTAGAAGATTTATTTCATTTTAGCGACCACATCCTTGAATATGGTGTGTTTCAATCGTGAGTATTTAATATAGATCATAAAATTTTTTGTTGAGTTATTATCTGAGATTCAAACAGGGTAGTCTCATAAAAGTCCTGAGAAAAAGCATAGATATTACTGATCTAAGTAAGCTGTCGCTATCAACCATCTTGAGCGCGTGGGTAGGTGTGGGTGTGAGTTGAACAGAATCTCTACACCCACACCCACCCTTAATGGCATATCGTTATCAGCAAATTGTATCAAGATTACTGACTATTCATATGACCATTCTATCCTACAAATAGATGAGTGAGTCAAATTAACTAGAATACAACGAAAATTCTAATAAACTATGACAGAAAATTCTATAAAAATCATTCCAAGAGACAAAAAAAATAAGGAGCTGGAGTCTGCTTAGCAGACTCTGCTAAGTGTCTTAAGTAAAGAAAGGGAACAAGATGAAGAGGAGAGAAAAAAAGAGTGAATCAGAAGTGACTGACCAACCGACTGATTGACTGACTTACAATACGTTAGCATAGCTATTTATAGATGCATGCGAAAAGAAAAAAGAAAGAGGTAAACGATGGACTGATCAGAATCCATCACACTATTATATTTAATAACATAGTATGATAATTTTTTTATTGTTAGTTCAATAAAATAGAAACAAAGTAACACGTTTAGCATATATTATCTCATAGATAATGAAATACAAATTATGAATCAGAAATATAATATTTCAAATATATATCTATTGTATTCTTTGATATTGTATTAGCAATCTTTTTTTTTCTTTTAAATATTTGTTAGAAACATTTTATCAAATATTATATTAGATGAATATTATCTAAAACATAAATAGATTTGTCGTTCTAATCAAGTGAAAGATATCTTTTACAACTATTACATGTCAAATATTTAGATATATTAATTATTTCGACAAATTTAATACATAGAATCAAACGTTTTTAATATAAATGCCAGTTTCTACTTCATCAATATTCACATTTCGAAGTTCGATATAGATAATTACCTGCCATAGATATTTGTATATCTATAATCTATCAATAAGGTGTGGGTGTGACGTGACTTTGTGTAATAAATAAACTACATCCACACCCTCAAGATGTACTGGCGCTAGTTTGATATATATTTAATAATTTAAGAATGTTTTTATTCAAAAGACAAATACTTAAAAAATCTATATCTCAAAAACAAGTGAATGTTAGTTTGAAATAATGACGTATGCGAAGGCCTAACTACACGACCTATCCGCCAATGATTATCAGGAAACTATTCGGAAGGCCACTCCCATTGGCCAACCAAAAGCTGATGTTATAGGTGTCGCCGACCACGGTTGTGAATGATTGACTGAGATAATCCGGATATCCTATTGAACCGTCACGAAAGCTATAGGTGCCCGAATGAGGACATATAGTCCTTGCTTCGCCGTTAGCACCAGCGTTGTTTGGATTGCAGTAAGTATAATATGAAGTGAATGGAGCCATTTCGAAACCACCATTTTGCCACATCTCTACTCCGTTGTGCTTTACTGAAATGTCATCTAGACACCAATAGTTAGGATCCTGACGCATAGCCAGCAACATCGTCGTACTAGTCGATATAGCAACATATGAGTACTGATAATATCTATAAGAAAACGACGCCACATTTGAAAGGTAAACTAAAACCGTAGTTGAACCAGTTAATATTGCGGTGCAGTTGTTATTCAGTAGATCTAAATAAAAATAAAAGAATGTTCATATGTAAACTTAAACAAGATGTAAACTTTTTAATTCAACCAATCAATATTTTTTGCTAAATATTACTGAAATATCTCTGAAAGGAGAGTATGCTTAAAAACAAATCATTGTTCTCGTACATGTTCCTAATTTGTATTATTTTCCAATACTTAAGAAAATTTTCTACAAAAATTCAAGCCTTCTCTATGAATTATATTATACATTTACCATATGGTACACTGCCACTTGCCGTACTAGTCGTTGTCGTTGTACTGGTCGTACTAGTTGTACTAGTGGTACTAGTCGTGCTAGTCGTACTAGTGGTACTAGTCGTACTGGTCGTACTAGTCGTGCTGGTCGTACTGGTCGTACTAGTTGTACTGGTCGTTGTCGTTGTAGTTGTAGTATCTACACATAATTATATAAAATATATTCGTCAGCAATATGCACGTTTGGAGAGAGTTCCTATTTGATGTAGATGACACTACTGTGCCCAGATAAATTACTAATGTCGAAAATGCTGTTTAGATGAAGACAAAAAACACGAATTTTTTGGAACTATAGAAATACTGCTGGATATTTTTGAATCCACTTTTCTCCCTTAGACTTGCTCATTACCTAGCTTTTTTGAAATCAAAATTCCAGCTGTAATTCCACCTCCCACTAATAACAACAACAATAAACACAAGAGAATGCAGCACAATGGTGAACAACAGAAACCACTACATCTAAAATGGACAAATATTCAGTTTAAAGAGAATAATTACTTCATTAGAGTGAGGGTGTGGGTGTTGTATGCTCCTTATATGCACACGTATACACACACCCATACCCTCTAGTAGGTTTCTTTTTTCATTTTTTTAAATAACTATTCTCTCGTTCATCTTCACGTGCATATTGAAGGGATTCAGTAGGTCGTCAGTGAATTTGCACAATAAAATAGAAAATAACATACCGACGTTTTGAGGTTGATGATTTAGCGGAATCTGGTTTGCAAGAGACGGGCGATTCTGGAAATTCCAGCGGAGCAATAACTACTGCAATTTCTTCAGTTCCAGCCATTTATTGTCACTATTCTTTGATGTTTATCGAATGTATTAAATTGTTAGCTTTTTCACATCTCTTTATATACATTCGAATTTTAATGCAGAGTAGCATAGTGTCTGAAATGTTATCGTCTTTTTTTTCCAAGTAAAAAAGTATTTGTTTGTATTTCAAAGCAAATGAATAATCGATTTCATACATTAGTCATTCTTTTGTGTACATTAGTCTCAATCGCTCTAAACACTGAAAGGTGATTGGAAGATTTTGTCGTTAAAACATTCCAACCACTTTGGTCCTTCCCCGTCTCAAAAATTTGTAACTGCGTCTTAAGGGTATGTAAGTAGAATAGAGAATCTTACGTGTTTTATTTGTTTGACGTCGTAAAAATAAGTGAAAGCAGAGTAAGTTGGAAGAATACTCTCTACATTCTGAATATATATATAGTGAATGATTTAAAAGAATTATTTCATTTTAGCAACGACACAGCCTTGAAGATGGTGTGTTTCAATCGTGAGTATTTTATATAAGCAATAAAATTGTGTTTTTTGAGTAATTATACAAGATACAAGCACGTTGGTGTAATAAAAGTCCCGTGAAAAAGTATAGATATTACTGACCTAAGTGAGCTGTCGCTATCAACCATCTTGAACGTGTGGGTGTGAATTGAATTGAACAGAATGTCTACACCCACATCCACACACTTTATTTTATATTTTTCAATGAAAAACCTTACTTCATTTGCTTTTGTTCTTTGAAGATAATACTAATACAACAACGACAAAACAAGTAACGTTTAATACCTACACACAATAGTCAACACATTTACAACCATCTAAAATAATAATGGGGACTACTATTTCAAAACGACAATCTTGCGTCTCTGTAACACACATCGACTATGAAGAAACAACAATATCAGCTTCAGTAGCTCCTAACTATAGAATACATCAAATATCTCATTCTTCTCAATCTCGAAACGGTGAGAAAATCAAATGTGTGTTAACTGAAAACCAAATTTTTGATTTAGTGAAACGTGACAATAAACAATACTTGCATGATTCACTTCTGATGAGTATTATACCCTCAAGTAAATATACATCGAATGATTTAAAACAACTTAATCAGGTATTTATTTATTGGATGATGGTTAAATTAATTATTATTAATTTTAAATGCGACAGAGAGGTTCATAAAGAACTTTTGAACAATTTAGCTGAATTTTCTCGAAAATATTATTTGAATAATACAAATGAATTGAAACTGATTGATGAATTTGCACACAATTATCATGGACATACACCGATTTGGTGGTATACAATGACTAATTTTATTCGTTGTATGCTTAATCAAGCATTCGAAACCAAAGATATCGAGATTCATATTAAAATGGCATTTTTTATAAAAGATCTTTATCAACAATTAAAAATTTTACAAATGAATACAGTAAAAACAAATAAATTACCGATAATTGTTTATCGAAATCATCAAGTTACAAATGAAGAATTTGAAAATATCAAAAATAACAAAGGAAATCTTTTATCATTTAATAATTTTATCATAGCAGATCATGATCATGAAATACAGAATAATACGAATACTCTTATGGTTAATATTTTATTTCGTATTAGAATTGAATCGAAACGTACATCAACACCTTTCACTTTCTTTCAAAATGACAATGATTCTGGTGATGAACAGAATTCTTTTATTTTTTTCATGCATAGTATATTTCGTATTGTTGATATGAAACAAATTACAGAACGATCATGGGAAGTAGACCTTACGTTAACATCAAATAAAGATGAACAAGTAACATGTCTTACTGATTTATTACGACATGAAACTCGAGAAACAGTTGGTTGGTTAAGACTTGCGCAGTTAATGTCAGTTATGGGCGATTTTGATCAAGCAAAATATATCCATAATAAAATATTTGAATTAACACCAGAAAATGATATATCAACACGAGCACGTATTTATGTTGAATTAGGAAATATTGATAATGAATTTGGAGATTATAAATCTGCAAATACACGTTATGAAAAATCAATCGAAATCCAACAACAACAATCTTCTAGTCATCATTTACTTCGTTCTTCTTATAATAATTATGGTGAAGTTCAAAGGCAACTAGGAAATTATTCTAATGCACTTTCTGTGCATAAAAAAACTTTAAAAATGAAAAAACAATATCTTTTTCCAGATGATTTATCATTAGCTATTACTTATAATAATATGGCACTAGCTAGTGAATCACTTGCTAATTTTTCAAATGCATCGAAATTTCATCAACAAGCACTTTCAATTAAAAGAAAGACTCTTTCAGCTGATCATCAAGAGTTTGCGATTGCATATAATAATATTGGTGAACTTCAACGGTTAATGGGAAATTTTTCCCTAGCATTACAATATTTTGAAAGAGCTTTAAATATTCGTTTGAAAAAATATTCTACTAGTGATGGACCAGTAGCTATTCCTTATAATAATATGGGTCGTATTCATTGGGAACTAGGAGATTATGCTCTGGCAACATCATATTTACAAAGATCACTTGATATTAAATTAAAAACATATTCATGTAATCATCCATGGTTATGTTGTACTTATAATAATATTGGTGATGTTCATCAACAAATGGGAGAATATGCAAATGCACTTTCTTATTATCAAAAAGCACTTGAAATACAAGAAAAAGCATTTCCAGCAAATCATCCTGAAATAGCTATAACATATACAAATATGGGCAGGACTCATCGATCTTTGGCTAATTATCCAACTGCTCTTTCGTACTATCGAAAAGCAATTGAAATCCAGCAAGAAACACTTTCTAATAGTCATCCATCACTTGCAATATGTTATAATAATCACGGTCATGTATGTCAATTAATGGGAAAACATCAAACTGCATTGGAATATTATCAAAAGACACTTGAAATTCAAGAAAAATCTCTTCGTAAAGGTCATCCATCGTTAGCTGCGACTTATAACAATCTTGGAGATGTTGAAAGACAATTAGGAAATTATACTAAAGCATTAACATTTTATGAACAATCACTTGATATTAAAAAGAATTCTCTTCCATCTTACCATCCAACATTGGCTAGCACATATAATAATATAGGTGTTATCTATCAATCAATAAATAATTATTCAACTGCACTTGAATATTATCAAAAAACAGTAGAAATTCAACAAAAAACTCTTCCATCTCATCATCCTGATTTAGCTGTTTACTACATTAATATAGGCGCTAATCATCAGTCAATGAAAGAATATGACACTGCACTTGAATATTTTAAAAAAGCATTAGAAATTCAACTAATAAGTCTTACAGCTTCTCATCCTGATATTGCTGTTACGCATACTAGCATAGCAACTGTATACGTAAATCAAGGAGATTATAAATCAGCTTTAAAGCATGAACAAAGTGCTGTTGATATTGCCAGTAAAACCTTTGCACCCGATCATCCGAAGATCCAAATGTTTCAAAGTTATCTCGAACAAATACGTGCGAAAATTAAAACAACATAATCTATTATTTATTTCATTGCTGCATCTTGAGGGGTGTGGGGATAATATATAAATACCACGCCCACACTCACACCCTCTCCATTATAGCTCGATCAAAAGATCTTATATTTTTACCTAGGATAGAGGCGTATTTATATTCCATACGGGCAGGGTTTGTGAGAACTTTTGTTTAGTACCATTATTGATCTCAAAAATAAAATTCTATGGTTTACATAAGATCTCTCAATCTATATATGTATAGATATAAAGCTTGAGGGGGTGGATAGGTGTGTATGAATATTGCATTTAATTTTCGTCCACACCAACCCATCCTTTCTGGTTAGGACTGATATTCACAAAAAATGCTAGTCTGAACGGTTCATCTAAAGATGACATCGATTTTGGAAGTGATCATGCTTAATATGCCTTGCCTTCTATCTTCTATGTTTACTCATAAGTATTCTTATTTTATTGAAATGAAACATCAGAGTCACATGCAGTCAAGAACGACAAGTTCAATTTAAACTTTTGATGGAAAAAAGTGTATTTAAGATGTTGGCCGTCTCGTTTCGTTACTCATTCCCGACGAGTTCAACCTCGATTATCCAACCATCAACGTCTTCATAAACGTCCAAAATTTCCAGTTGAGCCGCGATTGATAATATTGCTTCCATTTCGTGTGGAAAAGAACTCCATTTCCATATGTTTGCAATATTTAATCGATTGCGTTCTGTTGTGTTTAATATAATGAGTGCATTACCAGGGAAAACTAAATCTTTTTCGGTCGTAAATGACGAAAATGAATTCGTATAGTAACATGTACCAATCTTCTTTTTAAAGTAATTGATTTCAATATCTGATAAATGGGCGCCTCGATAATAAACACTTCGTAGATTTGTCTGATACAAACCACGTATAATTGATCTCAGTTTATTAGTATAATTCCAATCGATATCACTATCTGATAGCAAATTCAAATTTGTTTTCAGGTAATGCATACGCGTATACTGCTTGATGACATCTATCATTTCGTCAGTCAATTCATTTTCGTTAATCCAAAGTGAATAAACTTGCTTCAATTGTTTTTCATATGGATTTGTATCAAAAAGTTTGAAACTCAATTCTTTTTTTTTATGATCATAATAGTAACGGTCGCTTTCATGATTTGAAGTGGCAGATGCAAATAAACGAGGTAAGAAACGATTAGTGTCACGATCGACTTTGGTAGCTAAGTAAGAGAAAAATCCATTCAATTCAAAGAATACAATCAACATGAGAGTAGCATCAAAATACTTTGCACTAGAATATATAGGTCATAGCTTTGATGCAGACATAGTTTAAATGTTGTAAGCTATTGTGAATTTCAAAACAATTCTGCGCGCTGGCAAAATTTACATATTTCCGTGACACGAGTAGTTACTATTCTGTAGCTTTCAAATTTTGAAAAAGGATATTGGGGTATGTGAATTTATTGAAGAGTTTTAAATTTCAGGACCTGAACAATCAGGTGAGAGTCCGTTGGATGTTGTGAAGATGCCCTTCAGAACACTTTTTCCATTCAATTTTGCATTGCAATACGATGAACCGATAGAAAAAATTGTTCTCTTTCTATTGTAAGGGTTTAAATATACTTAAACCCTCATTCGCACCCACATTCTAAATGTATCGATCTATAATAATAATATATTGAAATACTGAATAGAATTATTTTCTTAAAAATGAAAGTTATCGAGAAAATACTAGACTATTGTTGAAAAAGTTCATCAAGACAAATTCAAAATAATATACTTATTTAAACGTGAGTGAACGCTCTCGGATGTACCCTCTCAAAAGGAAATACTTTTCAATTTGTCTAATCACGCTGATATGTCAGGAACTGCAAAATCACTTTTTTTTCGGTCCCGGTCTTGATAAATTTATTCATAACACACATAAGCCTAACTATTGTAAAAATATTAGCTAAATTGGTAACATCGATTGAGCGGAGTTGTTCATGGTTTAAGCGCAATGCCTCCGAGGGAGATTGGTTATACAGGGCCTGTACTGGCTTCTGATTCCTGCCAGAATTACTATTTTCTCGTATGCTTGTTCAGCAGTAAGTATAGTAGGCATGTCTACGCGTTCAATACCAAACATGAATTTCTTAGCTATTAGCGCTACATAAATACGGACAATATAAGATGTCGCAGATAATTTTGAGTTATTCATGATACTTTTGATATTTTTCTAGTTATATTCATAGATAAAGTAATGAATACATAGGAGTTAATAAATAAAAATTCTCAAAAAATAATAAACACAAACTGCTATGAAGGTCAGCCTGGATAATTGCACTCTCTATATAGAGCGATCATCTCTTAATGATGTCTTTGCGAAATATGGGATGATTATCTTTGTATGACCTCTCTGACATACACAGTGTAGTCGTCGTTAGGTTTATACCACTGTTCAAAATATTACGTGAGCTCATGAATACGTATACATATACATATATATTCAAATTCTTTGTTATAACGTTATCGTTCTTTTTATCTTTCTCTCATTCATTTCCGTTGTTCTTTTATCTCTTCTACAATTCGAAAGGTCTTCAATAAGCTATATTAACTAGTACTAACAAACATGTATATCATTGTTTATCTATCTCTTCCCACTTTGATTCAACGCTTAGTGCAATCGTTTCAATATTTTGTCTATTAGCTCTTCATATTTTATCCCAATGAATGTATTTCATTGCTAGGCTGCTAGTGTTTTACAATTCTACTCCCATTTTAATTTATTCTCCTCTTAGATTCACTTTTATGATACACAGTACTTTCCACCTAGCATATTATTTTATTCTTCTCCATTACTTTTTTCGAAAGTCATGCGTTCCTTACAGGTAGATTCGATACTAATCAAATGATAGACAAAATGCTTAAACAATTCCAGTAAGTATTATATCAATATGCATAACAGATATATCAGCACTGACATACAATTTCATGTATTATTTTTTCAGAATCTTCATTTGTCAACTTTAACTCATTTACTACTTTATCTATGAATATAATGAATGAAATATCAAAAAGTGTCAAGAATAACTGAAATCCTTCTATGATGTCTTATGTTGTGCGACTTTATACAGCGTTAACAACTATAAAGCTCATATTTGATACCAAACAAGTAAATATGTGTAATATATTATTGTTGAACAAGTGTATGAAAAAATAGTATTTTTCTACGAAGTTAAAACTCAGTATACACCCTTTATTTGCAAAGACAGTACTAATACTTGCACAACAATGATCGATAATTTTGAAAGGACTACCAATTATAAGCTATAAATATACAATTCTGATCTATCATTGACGACTTATGATTATCAAAGCTCACTTTTCAGCGGCATTCCAAATGCGAGCACAACCATAGAGCTTTTCAGTCATAAATGTGGCCCGAACACTATAATTGTAAGAAGCTGTTTCCCTTGGCACACCTCCTTCACACATCTATTAGAAATGAGATCAGATAAAAAATTCTAATTTTTCTATCAACCCTGTCTTACAGCAAAAATGGACCTGTGTTAAGTTTTTAAATTAAGAGCAAACACTCTCAGTCTTTTCTCAGAAGTCCAAAACTCAAATCAATGCTCAAATACAATATTCAGATAAGTCATCATTGTTCTGTCACTCCAATGCCACAGGCCAGACCGCCCAGCCAAATTAATTCTTACATGTACTAGATTTTAGATTCTCTATTCTCGCTTCAAATACTTACAACAAATAGGAAGAGTACAACAACAACCACAACAACAAATACAAATAAGAAGACCAATATCAAGAGGATTAAGACCAAGAGGACCAAAATGATTAAGACGATCAGAGAAACCACCAAAACGATCAAGAAGACCAAGACGATCAATTTCATGAGTTCCAGTTTCAATATGATCTTTCCAGTGCTCTTTGCATAGGTACTGTTCACATGTTTTGCATAAGTATCTGACGCTACTGTTACAGTTCAGTATTGAACAGATACGGCGAAAGTCCCTAATAAGAACAGGTGTTCGAACATCCTTGATTACTATGCATTTTTCTCAGCCATTTTTAGTAAGAAAAAAAATTATCTTTTCAGCTCCGAGTCGAGGAGCATTTTGCGCATCAAATGGTACAAAAACTAATTAAGTAATTAGCGGTATAATTTTGACAAGTGAGTTTGTTCGTATCACGCATCCTGTTTCTAATAAGAATAATAAGCTAAAATATGTTCCTAATACGAACATTCCATGGAAAATAAGAAATTTTCACTAAACTAGGTTTCTCAACCTCTAGACTACAAAACTTCACCTTAGTACTCAATTGAAAAAAGTTTCTCAACTAAAAATGCATTAAAATCCAGCGGTTGAAAATAAATGGAATCATCGTTTGTCTTCAACCGCTAAGTTCAATGTAACTTGAATCAAGAAACATTTTTTAATGCTCCCGCAAAAAAGAAATTTTTTAGTTTACAGATCAAAAAACCTCGTTTAGTAAAAATCTTTTGTTTTCTATGTATTTTATATAGAATGTTCTGATTAGGAACATTTTTTGCTGATTGTTCGATTTAAGAACATTGTTTCTAATAAGAACGAAAAAAGCAATCTTAAAATTGATATTACTCAGCAATAATAAATGATAGAAATCTGAACGTCTGTATTTTAATGTCTCAGACCATGACGAACATTTTTTGTAAGAAAACTATATCAACATTTTTTAGTTCTAATATAAAAAAATATCATGTAGTAGTTTTTTTAATTTCCCATGTATTTTCTGTAGAATATTCGTATTAGGAACATATTTTAGCTTATTGTACTTATTGAGAACATGATACTTAATACGAACAAATTCACTTGTCAGAATTATACCGCTAATTACTTAATTAGTTTTTGAGATAATTAGCTGATTTTTGCATCATTAGATGCACAAAGAGCTCCTCTATTCGCAACTGAAAAAATACTTTTTTTATGTCGAGACATTTCTGAGAAAAACAACAAACAATTATGGGTGTTG